TGAACAAAATAAAGAAAAACTTGTTTGTGTCAAGAGTTTAACAAGCTTACCTTTCCTCTATTTTATGTAGTTATTATTTTCATCTGGGAAAGTCTAGAAATTTGGGCAACAGTTCTTTTTCTTCCCATTCCCTGAAGATCTTGCTTATGATTATAGGAAGGTACATGACTATGAAATTATAACTTAAAGAAAATTCAACATATGTTTTAGAATATATTATGCCAGTGTTTATTATAATTTCAGTGAGCTTTGATGGAACTTTTTTTTTTTTTTTTTTTGAGTTGGAATCTTACTCTTGTCACCCAGGCTGGAGTGCAGTGACACATTCCCAGCCACCGCAGCCTCGATCTACTGGGCTCCGGCAATCCTTCTGCCTCAGCCTTCTAAGTAGCTGGAACTACAGATGTATGCCACCACGCCCGGCTAGTCTTTTTGTGATTTATTGTAGAGAAGAGGTCTCACCAAGTTGCCCAGGCTGGTCTCGAACCCCAGGGCTCAGGCAATCCTCTTGCCTCGGCCTCTCAAAGTGCTGGGATTATAGGCTGAGCCACCGTGCCTGGCTGGAACTTTTAATAAATATGTTTACTGCAGTCAATTTTCACTTTTGAGGTTTGCATCTGCTCCTGCCACATAACGGTCACCAGGCCACAAGCTGGGACACACTCAAGAAATTCTAGGTCTAGTAAGAGATGGTACTTTAAAATATAATTATACTTCTTCTATGACATGATGGTGGTATGTACAAGGGCCTATAAGCGTGAGGAGGTGACAAAGTTAACTCAGTTTTAGTTGGTTTACTTGAATCATTATAACCATGATTCTCATACCATTTCTTGTCCCGGTTCTTTTGAAGGAAGCAGTGTATCCTCTTTTGTGGTTTTCTAATACAATGATTTCCATTTAAGTCTGTGGGATCAGGTCTCATCACATAGGCAATGGCTAGAAAAGCCTTCCACCCCCAGATGAGTATCTTCTGCCCTGGGAGAGTTTTCTCCCATCCTGAGAGAATACTGCTTTACAGAATAAGTAGCTTTAGTTAGAGTTGGGAAAAGCATATGTGAGTGGAATGGTTTTTGGTAAAAAAAAATTAGGGAAAGCTGGAGGTGGGCACATACTTTGGGAGAGCAAGACTGAGAAGGAAGAAATAGAGATCAGAATCTAATGTGTGTATAATTGTGTGATAAGAAGGCTAGGTTTTTCCTGGCAGTCTGTGGGGCAAAAAAATAAAAATTATATACATGTATATAATATAGTTGGATTTAATTTTATGAAGATATAAGACTTTATTAATGATTTTATAATAGAGACATTATAATCAGGCATGAATTTTAAAAACATAGAAAAATATCAAATTTAGCATCTTGCAAATGTAAGTACTGAATTACATATTGACCAAAATAGAAATACATGGCATATACATAGATGCATGATAATTTATAAAAACATCATCAGTATGTTGTTGGCCTACAAAGGAGGTTTAGAAATGCATACAATCATGGCTGGTCCAAAGGTAGCAAGTTATTTCAGTTGACTGTTCAATGTCAGTTACAGATTGTACTTCCTTGTCCTACTCTTCTTTTTCACTGTTGCATTTGATTGGTCTAAAATTAAAAAGAAATGTATTAAATTTTGTCTGACTAGACATCTCTCTATGGCCAATTCATTTGTTTCTTGGAACAAGATTACAAAATCATGATTGAGGGTCTATTAAATCTTTCATTTTCAAGTCCAATTTTAAAAGTATAAATCCCGCCATAAATAAAACCTTTAGGAAAATACATAAAGTCTTCTGGAAATTTGTGATCTTTAAAATTAAATATCATAAGTCAGGAAATAGTTCATATTGTACACTGTATTGATATTTTTGTAATATTGCTTAAATTTTCCAATTCACATGTTTGAAATGTGACAAAAGATTTTAAATGATGGATGTGAGTAATTTTAAATGATGTGTTTGATATTTTAAGGGTACTATTTATTCCTCATAATTGAGTGATGTGTATGGGTGGCTATTTGTGTAATTTTTTCACACCAAATGGAAGAATAGAGTCTTTTGTATTTAAGAAGATATTTGGGAACCTGGTCTAAAGAAACAAAATTGCTCTCAGAAAACACAATGGAAAACAGTCTTTATTGTTCTTCCTCAAAGAGCACAAAAGGCAATCAAACAAGTGAACTAGAATGTGGTAATTATTGAGAATGTTGATGGTACCCTTAAGAAGATTAAGCCACAGAAAATAAATGCTCTTCTCCAGGAGAATTTTCTGAAAAATCTGTTAAGGGGGTGGCAGACTCCTGCCTCCTACCTTGCACAAAACAATCCATTTGTGTAATCTACCACATCATATTTCTTGATTTAGCTTATAAGAGTACGGAAGGCACAATTGATTACTGGGAAGATAACAAATAGACATGACAAAAAGAAAAAAAAAAGAAACAGCTAAAATGAAGATAATAAAGGCGCTGTTTGCAGAAGAGCTCTGACATGTCAGGATTTAAAGAAGCAGACACCTATGAATTCAATTTAGTTTACAAGGCAGCCTCCAACAATGAAGATGAATTAGAGACTCAGGAAACAAGTGTCTTAATGTTAATTCTTTTACAGTTACCATTCTCTCTAAAACTGGCTGGAGATCGGATAGATAAGCCCTAATCTCTACATTCACATTTTTGTGACTTTAAAATGAATTTCTCTCTGCTGTTTCTAAGATACTGATGACTAAATACATAATGAAAATACTCAGAGTGTTAGATTTTGAAAGAATGATAAAAGAATCAAAGCAAAAGTCATTATTCAAAATTAATATATTTTTAATCAGTAACTTTAATGGCTAAACGATCACATTAGAATTTATAGTTGTAGTTTTAAAATAGGGATGACTTGCTGGCATGTGAAGTACCCTTGCATTGGCCGCAGATGATAAATTTTTGATGACTAACTCTATTATTGATGAAAATATCGAGGGGCTCTTCCCTGGGCTGTAAAATGTCCTAATCCCATTATTTAGACTAATGGAATAATGAATTTTAGTTATTATTTCCTATTTGTAGTGGAAAGCCTATTGAGAAGTTACTTCCTTTAAAAATAAAAAAGCATATATTATCTTAAACCATCTAGTTCTGGGTGTCTACTAATTGTGATTATTAACATGGCCCATGCCTTAAAAATAAATATATAATATGGGGGGCTAAAAATTTATTAGGTTCATGAATATGCATATTTGTAACAGTAGCCTGACCCATTTCATGTAACATGATCATATGGTCATTTTATTATTGGGACTCATACTGCCCCTTTAAATGTGTTCAGCAGGACTATGCCCGTCCTTGAACACTTTTACTGAAGTATGACTTGACCTTTCGGATTATTTTCAGTTATCAAAACCCCTATGGGCATTTACTCATCTCAATTCCAAAATTAGGGAAACTTGATTGTTATGTTGAGATTTCTCCTCTTCTTCCTGCTGAGTACTTGTCATCTTAGGGCTGCCCGCTGTCAAGAACTCTGCTTTACTCGTTCAAAGAAGAGTTTTTGAGCATCTCTTCTGTGTTGATCACCATGTTAGGGCATGAGTGTTCAATAGTAAACCAGATAGACATGGCTCTTAATTTCAAGGAGTTTACAGTCTGCTCAAGAGAAAAAGATAATAAACCTGTAAACAGACAAACCTAAATAATTTTCATTAAATATACAAATGAAAGAAACACATAAAAAGCTGTGACTATTGACCCCTCTTCAACAATAGGCAAAGTCTGATGGAGCTCTGCAGATATTCCCATTTCAACCTCTTGGAAGAAGCAATGTTACTTATTTTTTATAGTACAGCTAAAACTAAGCTCTGAAAATTTAACTAAATTTTACTGAAGTCTTGGGAATAGTTTTGGTGTGTGAAATGGAATAAACTACCTCCTCTAATAAGTTTTAGAACTCATGGGACAAAGCCTACTTGCAAAGCCCATACCTATTCTTGGCAGTCTGCCACAGAGTGAGGATTATTTTCCACCAATGTGAATCTGCATTTCTTTCTTTCTTTTTTTTTTTTTTTTTTGAGTTGGAGTCTCACTCCGTCACCCAGACTGGAGTGCAGTGGCCGCTCCCGGCCACCGCAGCCTCATCCTGCTGGGCTCCAGCGATCCTTCCGCCTCAGCCTTCCAGGTAGCTGGAACTACAGGTGCATGCTACCACGCCCGGCTAATTTTTGGATTTATTGTAGAGATGAGGTCTCGCCAAATTGCCCAGGTGGATCTTGAACCCGCAGGCTCAGGCAATCCACTCACCTCAGCCTCCCAAAGCACAGGATTACAGGCTAAGTCACCGAGCCTGGCTTGCAGGCATTTCTATAGTGTAAGCCTCACTCCCTCTGGATCAAAAGAAGAGTAAACATCTCTGGATTAAAAGGATGACTGAGAGAAGGTCCACCCGTTTCCTTCTAGGGACTGTCCTGTCAACATCAAGAACCCATCAAGACATTCACAACAGCCCTCATTAAGCATCCAAAACTCAGGTTATTCAGCCCTTAACAACACTGTTCATAGGACAAAAACCACTTACTCTGAATAGCCATTCTCCAAATCCAGTTTAAGCCCTTGTTGCAAACTTCACTCATTATGAACAGAAGAGAAAATCAGTTTTGTTACCACCCTGTTACTGATTTAGACCAATATATCTTTTCAGGAACTTCTTGGACAAAAACTCAGGGATGGGCATGTGGTGGCTCACACCTATAATCACAGCACTTTTGGGAGGCCAAGGTGGAAGGATTGCTTGAGCCCAGGAGTTTGAGACCAGCCTAGGCAACATAGTGAGCTCTTGTCTCTATCAAAAAAAAAAAAATGTTAGCTGGGTGTGGTGGTGTATGCTGGTAATCCCAGCTACTCAGGAAGCTGAGGCAGAAAGATCACCTGAACCCAGGAAGTCATGATCAGCCATGATCATGCCACTGCTCTCCAGTCTGGGTGACAGAGTGAGACTTTGACTCAAAAAAAAAAAAAAAGGTGTGGTCGTCGAGTCTTCTAGGAGTTTGGGGAACGCCGGCCCGAGTACCCCGAGTGTGTAGTCATGTCGGCGTCGGTAGTGTCGGTTATCTCGCGGTTCTTAGAAGAGTACTTGAGCTCCACTCCGCAGCGTCTGAAGTTGCTGGACGCGTACCTCCTGTATATACTGCTGACCGGGGCGCTGCAGTTCGGTTACTGTCTCCTCGTGGGGACCTTCCCCTTCAACTCTTTCCTCTCGGGCTTCATCTCATGTGTGGGGAGTTTCATCCTAGCGGTTTGCCTGAGAATACAGATCAATCCACAGAACAAAGCGGATTTCCAAGGCATCTCTCCAGAGCGAGCCTTTGCTGATTTTCTCTTTGCCAGCACCATCTTGCACCTTGTTGTCATGAACTTTGTTGGCTGAATCATTCCCATATGCTTAATTGAGGAGTAGGAGACTGGAAGAATGTTCATTTTTTTATTTTCCTGGATAAGAGTTCTTGAGATGGCAGCCTGTTGGACATGTGCTTCAAGATTTGTACTTCTACGAACTCCGATTTGGCATGCAGTTGGAGAGCCCAGAGAAGTTTCTATCAGAACAACTTTGTAATGAACACTTATTAATCTGACTTCTGCTTTCCATAAGTGTAACCTTTTGCCCTCCAAATTAAAAAACTCCCTGCCACAAAAAAAAAAAAAAAAAAAAAAGGAAAAGAAAGAAAGAAAAGAACTGGAATGAAAAGAAACGTTATCTTGTGGATTCTTAAACACTTTCATTCTTAAAATTCTAAATGGCCTAATTTCTGACATTATTCCTTCTACTTCAGAAAATAAAAATAATAACAATCTAGACACTTTCATGGAATCATTAATTTGTTTTGAAAAAATGCATAGATGTCTCAAGAACAGATAATGATCTTCAGATACAGATTGACCTAAATTCAAATTTTAGTGGAAAATATTTTCTAAATATTCAGGAGCATACACATTTTGCATTTATATGTGGATTTGAATCATCTGATTTTAAAGCAGCTTACCAGTCATCAGGACTTGTAAGAACAATGATGAGGGAGTCACTTTATCAGTTCTTGTCTAAAGGGTATCATCAAAAGGTCACTTTTAAGAACAAAGTCAAGAACTTCCCTAAAGATATTTCAGTATCTACATCAAAGGGAAAAAACTGCTTATAAATTCCTCAATCCATAATTTTTTTAGTTCACATCCATCAGGTTCAGACAAATCATTTTTGACTCGACACATAACTGTGCTACTTAAGGCCTGAGTTCCTATCTTTTTTCTCTGTGCTCTAAGCATCTTGTCTGTGCCTAGCTTCAACGTTTAATAAAAACCTAAATGAATGACTGAAAGAATTATCTGTCAAAGTGCAACCACTTAATAGCGTCATGACTTGGCCAATTATTTAACCAAAGGCTCAGTTCTGTCATCTTCCAAATTTGCAATGTTACTCCCTACTTGATAGGGTTGTCGAGAAAATTAAATGTTTAGCACATCATAAAGACTAGCAAATGTTATTATTGTTGTTTTTAATGAATGGTGTGATTCTGATTAGAGGTAGATTCAGAAGCAGTGATCTCCAATCAGGAGACAGTCAATCTGGGAAAAGTTTCTAGAAATCAGTAAAATGGTTTATTCATATTGAAAAAACCATAGGCAGGAAAACTCATAGGCAAGATGGCAGGTTTTAAATATGACTTGACTGAGGTAAGCAGGAAAAATCTTATGCCCAAAGACATCCACACATGCTTTTTGCTATGAAATCTTAGTATTTTGCTTATTTATTATTATTGCCTAGTAATGGGTTAATCCTTTTATATTAGTAGGCAAAAGACATGTTAGAAATGCTTTAAGGGTAGCTTTAGAAATAAATTTTTTCACTTAAAAACAAGCCTCAGATCCTAGGTCTGTTATCATTTTTCAAGTTTCAAAACATTTTTTTCAAGCATCATTTAATGAGCATATGAAATTTCACAGATGGTAATGTTAGTGATAGATGGGTATTTTTAAAAATACTTGAACCAGATATGGTGACTCACACCTGTAATCCCAGCACTTTGGGAGGCTGAGGAAGGAGGATTGCTTGAACCCAGGAGTTTGAGACCAGCATGGCAGCACAGGAGATCCCATTTCTTAAAAAGCAAAACAAAACAAAACAAAACCCGTTGACAAGAGAAGTTTTTTCTTTCCTTCTTTCCTTCCTTTTCCTCCCTCCCCCCACTACCAGTTCCTCCCTCCCTCCCTCCCTCCCTTCTTCCTTCCTTCCTTCCTTCCTTCCTTCCTTCCTTCCTTCCTTCCTTCCTTTCTCTCTCTCTCTCTCTCTCTCTCTCTCTCTCTCTCTATCTCTCTCTCTTTCTTTCTTTCTCTCTTTCTGACACTGTCTAGGCCTGTTGCTCAGGCTATAGTGCAGTAGTGTGCTCATAGCTCACTGAAGCCTTGAACTCCTGGGCTCAAGCAAGAGAAACCACCTCTATGTTAAATGTATTATATTTTCCTTCCTCATACTATCTCAGTTTTTCCTGAAAAATATCCTGAAAACATCTCGGATAAAAAAATGTTTGACTCAATAATGGTTACCCAACAACATTAATGTATGTAATGCTACTGGATAGTATACTAAAATAGAGTTGAAATGATCAATTTTATTATATGTATTTTAAAATACCACAATTTAAAAACTTGGGTATGAAAAAGTATAAAAATAACAGATTCCTTTATAAACATGGTTGTGATAATAACAGATTTCATATTTATTTTAATTTTGAGATACAGAGTTACTTCATGAAGGGTAGAGAAAAGACAGTGTATGTCAACTCTTTCTTTCCAGCACCTTCTCTTCTTCCTCTCTTCAGCCAGCTGCCATCATCTACCCTGCCTACACCATTGACTCCAACATCAAAACTTTGGACAGCTGAGTTTTTAAAAAATAATCAATCTGAGTTCTCGAAGAGTTACATTTCTCGGGCTGGGATGGAAGAGTGAGATTATAAGTGATCCCTTTGAAGCTCTATGAAATTTTTGGTTGTTATATAGCCAAACGACAAAAACAAATTTAAATGACAATATTTTTGCTCATCAACAACTGTAGGGACAGGGCTAGGGTTTACATCATATTAATAACATATAACATATTATACATAACATATAATATAGATAATATATAATATATGTTAGCATTGTATGTGTATATATATATTAGCTATACATTTCCTCCCCCTTTTTTTGAGAGATAGGTCTTGCTATACTGCTCAGGCTGGCCTCAAACTTCTGAGGTCAAGTGACCCTACAATTCAGTCTCCTGAGTAGGCACAGCCATACCATAGGCATGAGCCGCCATTCCTACCCTGGGTTTACATTTTTCTATGTAGAGAAAAATGTGTGCTTCAGTGGAAAAGTACAGATTGCTAGACTTGAGAGAATATCTCTTTGGGTTACCTGACTCTATGGAAGCTATGGAAGCTATTTTATGACTGTGTCAATTATAGATAACTGATAACAATGCAAAAAATATTTTGTCTATTGACATACAAATATTTTCCTATCTGGGGAGAGGTTCAGTTGACTCTGCTTTCCCTTCCCTTTCTTGTGGAAAAAGCAGTTTTGCATCCATCTGCACATTTATTTCAATATTCCTGATCTATAAATGTGTCTGTTCTTTGGATTCTTGTTTGAACCAGTTATAACATCTGCCTAGTTCTCTCGCTGATTATGAGTTAAATAGCATTCTTACCACCTGTTCATTTTTATGTCTATATGAGAATCATGATTTTACCCTTTTGTGAAAATTAGCTGTTAACAAAGACAAGGGAAGAAATTTATTCATTTTCCTTTAGACATAAGGGAGAGAAAAACAGTAAGTTTTAAAATTTGCAATTTATCCAGTCCTTTTAACAAGTGAACGATTCACATCAGAAATTGTATTTCATAATAAAGATTGTGCTAATTACTATAATGTATATACATAAAATACTGACTAGTTTTCTTAAATCTGTGTTGCCTTTGGAACCCTTTTATAGTCAAGCATTTATACTGTGGGCTGGGTTCATGTTGTAATCTCAGCAATTTGAGAGGCCAAGGGGGGAGAATCACTTGAGCCCAGGAGTTTGAGATCAGCCTGGGAAGACTGTGTCTACAAAAAAATAAAAAAAAATAAAAAAAAATTATACTGTGGCTCATCTGTTAACTAAAATTCCAAAAGATCACATAAAATGAATCATAGGTAGCATCTTATTTTTTTTTTAACAGAAAAAAATTTCCATAGCAGCTAAGGTACTGGCAAAGAAGGTGTCGTGCAGATTTTAACAAAAGTTGGCTAACTAAAATTTAAAGTATTTTCAATAAAATATGATTCGTATTTCAGTTCCAAATACAATATAATGCTCCTTTTCTCCTTTAAACATTTATGGATTGTACAAGTGTGTGTGTGCCCATGTGTGTAGAGTGAGAGTGCGTGGGAGACATTTTAAAAATCATTGAATTTGAAAAAAATATGCTTTAGCTTCCACAGTGTCTTTAATAAGCACTTTTGAGATGGATTAAACATTTCTCTACAAATTAAAATGCAAATATAAAAAAGGAATTATGTTACTACTGGATGTGTCAGGGAGGGTAAAAACCTTCAATAGGTGTTACTGTAGAAACAATTTAGAAATCTGTTTACCTATGTATCTTGGAAAATATTCAAAGACTGGCCAAGGCATCTAACTATTTTTAGTAAATGTGTGCTTTTTAGCATGCTACATCAAACAAGATAGCTTGGAGCCATCGATTGAGATAGTAAATATTGATGATAACTTATGTTAACATTGAGATAGTAAATATTGATGATAACTTATGTTAACTATGCCATTGAAAGGACCCTCAACAAGTTCATTCTCCCAGTTTCTCCAGTGTAGGTATATTAGGGTTATCAAGAGAAACAGAGTCAATAGGAGCTATACATGCATATGTATGTGTATATGACTCACACTATTATAGAAGCCAATAAGTTTCAAGATTTGCAGTTGGCAAACTGGAAACCAGGAAAGCTGATGGCATAGTTCTAGTCTGACAGCTGGGAGACTCAAAACCTAAGAGGACTTGATGTTTCTGTTCAAGTCCAAAGGCAAGAAAAATCTGATGTTCCAGTTCAACATAGACAGGAATTTCCTCTTAAGAGAAGGATAAAGTCTTTTTATTCTATGCAGACCTGCTACTGACTATGAAGCCCATCTACATTAGGGATGCCAATCCCCTTTACTCAGTTTACTGATCCAAATGATAATCTCATCCAGAAATACCCTCACAGATATACTCAGAAATAATGTTTAGGCCAAATGTCTGAGCATTCCATGACAAGCTGGTATATAAAATTAACCAACAATTTTAAGAAGGCTCAGAGCCTGAGAGATTTTGTGTTCACATCTTTAACAACTTGCTCCCAAATTCTGTTTCTCTAGATAAAATGGAACCAGAATATTCAATTGCACACAGATAATTCTCCCAATCATAGTTAATTTCTGAACATTCTAATATCTTTGATAATCTGAGCTTGGATGGTAAGTAGGGGCAGTTGGTTAGGTATTTACATTTAATTTTGAATGAAGAAGATAACGCTTGCTTTCATGTTACTCCAGAGTTTCTGAAATCTGTTAATTGAACAATACCAGAAATTGCTGGAAAATAAAATAGTACTTCCCAGTACTAAAATAGCTGGGAA